ACTTCTGGAGCAGTAATCCTTCGTCTAAAGTTGTAAACCCGTAAAGATACTCTTAGCAGTAATCCTTTATCACGTGAACATGGCCGAAAAGAACGTACTTTTAGCAAAAAGTGCATTTCCCCCCTTAATACGTGTACAATATATAAGTATAACCGCAACGGCTATATTTTATCTTCAACGGACGTACCTCCTTTGAAATACAAACCCGATATTTCGTACTTGAAATTGTTCACACAGAAAAGGGAAACAGGAACTGGACGCTTAATGACAAGCTCATGTCGATGCTGCTGGTTTGAAGTGTACTTATCTCGTCTGTCATGGGAGATTCTACAGGGAAATGATATTTCTTTCTTTACTTTCCGCCTCTTAAATAACCTAATAGTGTTGATAGGGGCGTTAAACCTTCACCGTTTCACCATTTTTCTGTACTTTATGAAAACAACAACAGCAGCAATAGCGAGAACAACAGTAACAACAATTCTTTTCCAACCTCGATTTGAAGACAGAAGCTAGTGTGTTGAAATACTACAAAGTCTTGAGAGATGTTGTGAAAGTCAGTCAGTGATTTCTTAGGTAGAAGTTCGTTCAGGAGTCTTTGACAGTGACGTCGATATGATAATTACGAGAGGTCTGCGGTCTAGCGGTTTTGGCGCTTTTTCGTCGGGCGCAGAAGACATACGTGAGTTCGATTCCCGTCGGCGAGAATTATTATCGAGTATCTCAATCTTTCTGCTGGGTCGGTGTGTCCCCTCAGCCCGGGGAGACAGGGTCGAAGCCCGCCTCCTAAATAATCTAAATCGTGTCGATGGGGACGTATGAATGTGCAAATACAACTCAAACACGAATATATCGTTTGGCTTATTGTCAACAAAATATATACGCGTACCGGTAAGTTTTTGCACTATGTGAACACATTTTGTGAAGACGGTTTTTATTTTTCGATGTAGCATGGCAATGATCGTTTTCTGTTCTTTTTGTGTGAAGAGTGAGTTTAGTTTCAAAGTACTGTTTTTAAAATACGTTTATTTACTCAAAAGCACGTTCATCTGAAGATCGTACGACGACGTTAAGTTACATAATAATAATATTTTGTTGGTGTTATTGTTGTTGTTGTTGTTATTGTTGTTGTTGTTGTTGTTGTTATTTTTGTTTGGATTTTCTTTCAGCCCACGTTGAAATGATCCGTGCTCGTGCCAGCGTTTAGGGTGTTAAAACGTGGCTGAGTGGGTGGTTGGCGGGTACTCTGGTGTGGTTTGCTCCTTCTTTCCTACCAAACATGTATCGTCCTGATCTCCCCTTCTTCTCTTTTGTGTTTGT